AAGATTCTGGAATCCTTAATACTACAAATCCACTTCATGTGTTTGCATTACATATTGTTTTTCTACCAAGAATCAATCTAGCTCTCCAGGAGTTTATGGAAGCTTTTAATCATCACAAAGTTCGTACAATGCACAATTGGTCGCCTTACCAAGTATGGATAAATAACATATTAAATGCAGATAACCCATTGCTATCCGGACAACCTGACCCACTCCCTGAAAATGCTGAGTTTTATGGGTTTGATCCACATGGACCGAACCCATTTGATGAAAGTGATAATGATGTTGTTGTCCACCCAATAAACATTGAAAATGCAACTGATATACAGTCAGAAATCTTGCAAGTTGTAAACCCATTGGCACCTTCAAATGAAATGGGAATTGACATTTATGAAGAAGTTTTAAATTTACTACAAACACAATAGACGGGGCATGCTTTATATGTGTTTATTTGAACTCAGTGGTGCACTTATATAAAATGCTCTGCCAAAATAGAACCTCAGGCTCAGCCAAGTTAAAATGTTAAACAATGAACTAAACAGCAAACAGTTCTGGAGTCTGGACATACAGTAGACCCCAAGAAAAAGTTAATGAAAAACCTGCACTACTTGTGAATAATAGACACCAAATCTTCTCCTTCCCTTGAACAATGTCAGTCGAAACTTTGTGAATTAAAAATGTACCATAGCAACACACACAGTTGCAGGGCCTTTTTTAAGGATTTTCCCGTGGGGGGGCATTTTTTGAAAAGGGACCTTTCTGTGAGATAATATATTAGAGGGGGATAGCAATGGCTGAAAGCCACATGTGTGGAAAATATACCACGCATGGATGGGGGGTCTGGGGTTGTACTCCCCCAGAAAATTTTTGAAATTTGACTCCCGTAAAAGTCATTTCCTGCATTCTGAGCATCCAAATTTGCTCCAAAAGTTATCCTAACTATACTTGTATTTGAAATAAATAAAGGAAGAAACACACAAAAAGTAAAAAAAAATTAACCATCATTTATCATTACTTATTAGAGGATAGCAATGGTCAGGTGTGTGGGGGTGTACTCCCCCAGAAAATTTTTGAAATTTGAACCACGGAAATGCCATTTCCTGCATTCTGAGCATCCAAATTTGCTCTAAAATTTATGCTAACTATACTTGTATTTGAAATAAAAGATGGAAAAATGCACAAAAAGTAAAAAAGAATATTAACTGTAATTTATCATTACTTATTAGATAGATAATCCCAAGAAAATTTTTGAAATTTGAAACCGTGAAATGCTATTTTCTGCATTCTGAGCATCAAAAAATATATATATATATATATATATATATATATATATATTAACAATAATTTATCATGGCTTAGTGGTAAAAAAAGTAACAATTTAAATCGATTTTGTTAAACAAGAACAAAGGATAAAGCCTAAAACTTACTTTCCGTTTATCTATTTGTTAATCTTCGCTGGATTGTTTGTATAATTTTAGGAAAAAGGGACTTTTCCTGGGGGGGGCAAAATGTGATTTCGTGGGGGGGCACAAGGGGGGACTGGGGGGGCAAATGCCCCCCCAGCTTGTATGTTAAAAAAGGCCCTGCGCAGGGCCTTTTTTAAGGATTTTCCCGTGGGGGGCATTTTTTGAAAAGAGACCTTTCTGTGAGATAATATATTAGAGGGGGATAGCAATGGCTGAAAGCCACGTGTGTGGAAAATATACCACGCATGAATGGGGGGGGGGGTCTGGGGTTGTACTCCCCCAGAAAATTTTTGAAATTTGAAACCCGGAAATGTCATTTCCTGCATTCTGAGCATCCAAATTTGCTCCAAAATTTATCCTAACTATACTTGTATTTGAAATAGATAAAGGAAGAAACGCACAAAAAGTTAAAAAAAATAATCATCATTTATCATTACTTATTAGAGGATAGCAATGGTCAGGTGTGTGGGGGTGTACTCCCCCAGAAAATGTTTGAAATTTGAACCACGGAAATGCCATTTCCTGCATTCTGAGCATCCAAATTTGCTCTAAAATTTATGCTAACTATAGTTGTATTTGAAATAAAAGATGGAAAAATGCACAAAAAGTAAAAAAGAATATTAACTGTAATTTATCATTACTTATTAGAGGGATAATCCCAAGAAAATTTTTGAAATTTGAAACCGTGAAATGCTATTTCCTGCATTCTGAGCATCCAAAAAATAAAAATAAATATTAACAATAATCTATCATGGCTTAGTGGTAAAAAAAGTAACAAGTTAAATCGATTTTGTTAAACAAGAACAGAGGATAAAGCCTAAAACTTAGTTTCCGTTTATCTATTTGTTAATCTTCGCTGGATTGTTTGTATAATTTTAGGAAAAAGGGACTTTTCCTGGGGGGGCAAAATGTGATTTCGTGGGGGGGGGGCACAAGGGGGGACTGGGGGGGGCAAATGCCCCCCCAGCTTGTATGTTAAAAAAGGCCCTGGTTCATTGGCTTTCATTCTAACTTGAAGACCCTTTTGGGCTTCTGTTATCCAAAAGATTCGACTCTTTTCAAGCTCTTCCGGTGTCAGCGATGCAATGTCATTGGATGGCTTTATCTTAGCAAGTAAGTTCTTTTTCATCCTTAGTACCCACGCTGTAACTCTAACGAGTCTTCCCCAACGAGAGAACCTTTCGCAATCGTTCACGCCCGTCTTAGTTGTTTCTTTTGATGTCACAGTTCCTATAGACCAATTGCGAAACTTAGTGACCGCGCCTTCATACTGCACGAGAACAAGGCTTATTATGCAAAAACAAATCATTTTGCTATATTTTTATATGGGGAAAAATGAATTTCAGTGTTTGAGACGCGTTTTTATTGTAATCTCTTCATTTTTTTTCAATATTTTTGTTTTGACTATGTAAATCTTTATTAAATTTGTTCATAGATTTAGTCTTACTTCAAATTTCATTGTTTTTCGCGGCGTGCGAGGCAAAGTTTTGCTGTTTTTGGCCGTCCGATAAAAGAAGCAGATTATACCAGAGAAAGAATCAGGTATTTTCCGTCTGTTTTATTAATACATTTCAAAGAATAAGTTGTATCATTGATTAATTTTGTTTCAGTTGTAATAAAATAGCAAGTTTTCGATTTTAACTTTAAAAATATGAAAGTAAATGTCGGGCAAAATTTGTAGAAATTTTATGTTATTTTCCTTTGACAAAATCGTTTTTTTCTCGCACGAAGTCTAAAAAAATCTGGGTAGAAAGAGTTATATTTTAGTTTGTTAAGTTATAATGGCTATTTTATTTGCATCTTGATCAGATTTTAAAGTCTAGATTGATCTTTTCCATATGTTTGTTCTATCGCATGCTAAAACAACAACGAAATATCTTTCCAAAGCGAGTAAAAATATAGTGGGAAATCGATGTTTAGGTAAATTTAACAAATATTTATATAACCTAGCACGAAATATTAAGAAAAGATCAAGGAGATTCAAGAAAAACACACTTTAAAAACCCTAAAATTTACTTTTCGGCTATATAAAAATATAGAAATTGTTTTGTTTTTGCATAATAAGCCTCGTTCTCGTGCAGTATGAAGGCGCGGCCACTAACTTTCGCAATTGGTGTATTGCTTGTGTCTTCTTGCATTCTCTTTCGACTTCGTCCTGGTCAACGTTCGCGCTCTCTATTGGCCATTCTTCTTTCGGTAGGTGCAGGAACGCTGGACCGTTCTTCCACCTCCCTGATAATTCAGCAACCGATAAACCTCGTGATACATCGTCTGCAACATTATGCTCGGTAGGGATGTGTCTCCATTGAACAGGTTGGACGTTGGTCTGTATTTCCCCGACACGACTTGAAACAAATGGTTTGAGCCTTTTTCCTTTACTACGAATCCACGCTAAGGTAATCGTACTGTCGGTGAACAATATACTTTCTTGAAGCGGAATGCGAACTTCTTTCTCTATGGTTTTGCACAACCTGCTGGCTAACACCGCTGCCTGAAGTCCTAGCCGCGGAATAGTTCCTTCAATGGGGCTACTCGTGATTTAGCTGCAACGAATCTAACATGAACTGATCCAGTGGTGTCTTCGCTTCTGAGATACGCACATGCCCCAAAGGCTCCGCTCGAAGCGTCAGCAAAAACGCACAAGGTTGGTGGTTCACGGGTGACGATTGGACATATGCATCTTTCTAACGATATGTTGTTCAGCTGCTCCATTTCTTCCATGTATGATAGCCACTTTCTTTGGGCATTTGGTGACAGTTCATCATCCCAGTCAAGTCCCTCCTGCCATAACTCTTGCAAACCAATCTTTGCCCTTACCAGATACGGTGCTGCGAAGCCTATCGGGTCATATATCCGGGCGACGTGGCTAAGGATACTTCTCTTAGTGAGCTTTGACTTTTGGGTTATGGTCACATCGACTTTCACTTTGTACTTGAGCACATCATCTTTATTATTCCAAACTACGCCGAGCACTTTTGCGTCTTGTTTACTTTGAGGAACGTTTATCTCTTCATCTTTCTGGTTGCTAGTTTGGTTCTGCTCTTCGTTGGACTGCCATCCCTTTACCTGGAATCCGCCTTTCTCGAGGATGCAATCAATCGCAGTTGTTAACTCTCTGGCTTCTTGGTTCGTGGAAACTGAATCGAGGATGTCATCCATGTATGAATTGTCCCTTATAACTTGTGCTGCATTTGGCTCAGCTTATCTGCGTCACAAGTGCAAGGCTTAACTTCCACACCCATGGTTTCGGTCTTCCAAAAGTCCGACAGATCAAGCGGTGCTGTATATTTTACGTGTAGGACAGTGGTGATTGTGTTGCTTAATTCTCCCGTTGTCGAACCAAATATGACCCATCCCAATGCGGATCTTCTGGCGACTAGGTGGTCGGCTTGCTTTGTTTGACCGGTATGCATGTGTGCATGATCAATCCCGATGAGCAGATCGACATGTCCTTTGCCTCGTCTAACTACTTGGTCTTTTGGTAAGCCAAGTTTCTCAATGATAGTTCCGGTTTGAACACTTTTAACTTCCTCGCTAATACATGGAATACCAATTGCTCTCACAGAATGTTTCTTTGGGTCTCCGATTCCGCTTACTGGTACTTTGTAAATTTTCGTATGAATTGATTCCTCTTCTCCACCTACTTTGATTATGTTCACTGAGATGTTCTCTCCCTTTCAGTCCGAGGTTATCTGCTGTTTCGCTCCGTATTAAACTTATCTTCGCTCCTGAATCCAGAAGGACGTTCCCACGCTTGTACAACTCGTTTGGACCGCAGATGTTGGCAGCAATCACTGGCAACATAGAATCTTTCTGGCTGGTAACAGATGCTAAAGTGGCACCCACTGCGCTCGATTTATGTAGCAAAGGATGGTGGCTGAAGGTACACTGGCTTCCGTTCTCAACTTTGTTGCATTGCTTTCGCCGACTGCAGTTTGCTTGACGATGATCTCGACCCGCTTTCTTTAAGCAGCTGAAACAGACGTGATTCTCTTTCGCCACCACGAGTCGCTCTTCAACACTCATTGCTGCAAGCTTCTGACACTGGTCTGGCCAGTGACTTGAGTTGTTGCACAGCCAACACCTGTTTCTGCTCTTATTCCCGCCTTCGATTTCGCCGTGCAAGTGATTGATTTTGCGTCGATTTGTTAAACCACTTCTAACTGGAGCTGTCGCACGCATGCGCGACTTCATCTCGCTCGTCATCCACGTCATCAAAGCATTCAGCGTTGCTGGTTTTCGCTCTCTTTCTAAATCTCTTGACCAAACCTTTCGATCATCTGGGCACATCTTTTGTTCAATTATTGATAGCATGTGGCTGTTGTCCATGTCGCTCGGAACGCCAACCTCCTTTAGTGTGTTATAGCTACGTCTCACCAAATGAACAAGGTCGCAAAAACGCACATCTTCGCCTTCTTCTAACGGTTTAAATTTTGCTATGTCCTGAGTAATGGTGTCAGAAACAAACCGCGGGTCCCCGTATATTGAATCTAAATATTCCCATGCCGCGTCATAGTCGGAACCAATTCCCTTTATTAGCCCAAGCGGCTTTTCTTTCAGACAAATACGTAGCAATGTTATCGCGTCTCTTTTCGAATATCTTGATTCGATCGCGTGCTTGAAATCTGCGCAAAAAATTGCATATTCCCGCACGTCACCACAAAATTTGGGCAATTTTGGTTTTTCCATTCGGAAACCACATGGGGTGGAATTATAAGCAGGTCCTGCTTCATTACTAACTTCTGGTTGGGACGCGCTTTGCCTTGCGTTTTGTTCAAGATTATTTTGTAGAAACTCACGTGGGCTGTTGACCGATTTGATAGAAACTTCGTCATTAATGCTAGGATTTTCCTGGGGCGTCGAAATGTCAATCACATTGTTTTCATTGCTGATACTTGGCTCGGAAATTTCAGGGCTCGTATTACTTGCGCTCGGTGTGTTTTGCATTCCAATCATTCCTAAGGAATTTTGCGGGTTTTCGTCCAGGCTACTTTTGCTAATTTTTGCAGAAACATTTTCTATATAACACTTTGCATCGATATCAAGTTTTAAAAAGAATGTTTGACATTCATCTAACCACTGTTCTTCCTGTTCAAACTGTTCATCTTGATCAATTAAAATTGCATATAGCTCGTGTTTTGAAACCACGTTATCAAAGGCTTGTTCTACTTTAATGAGATAATTGCCTACCTCTTCAGCCGGTCTTTCGTTCTCGCACAGATGATTCAGCGCTTTTCCCAGTCTTGTCAACGCAGCCTTTGCGGATCGACGCTGTATCTTGGCTGCCTTCAACGCCTCGCTTGATTCACTCATAGTATAAATCCAGAATTTCCACCAGTATTTGTTCGCCAGAAATCGAATGTTGTGGATTATTCAGGGTAAATAAACTTCCCGGTTAGATCGCGAGACACGAAACCGTATAAATCAATGAATATTGATAGGTTTTTATTCGATCTAGTAAGTAATTATAAGGAATAACAATTGTAAGTATAGAATAACAAATAGTGTCTGATATATACCTGTCCGCTCTCTTCGAGTTATATACCGCATAATTTCAATAAATGAGACTTACTTCTTTGCCAGGTCTTCGCAATCTAGTCTTACTGATACTGAATATACAAATACACATACAAATGCAGGTTAGCTTCAACACAGGTTAGCATATCTCTTTCGTTTAACACTATAAGTCTTTGTCTCAATCTATCCGAATGTAAATGTGCGTCAAATTACGTGTCAATCAGGTTAATCTCATTAGTCATGCATTACTATAATTAGTTAATAATTATCCCGTAAAATATATAAAGTTCTGTCAGCGACACACTAGTATTGTTCGATGCTGAATTAATATAAACGAGTATGTTTATGACATTCGGTATATATTTCATAATTTCCAGTCTTAAATCCGTCTGACCGTGTAGCTCAGTAGGTAGAGCGTCGATCTAGTAATTCGAATGTCGCGGGTTCAAGACCCAGCCGCGGCAGACAACATCTTTCTGCTTGCGCTGGGTATGGAAATTATATAATACGCACTCTAGAACATTTTCATCTATATATATATATATATATATATATATATATATATATATATATATATATATATATATATATATATATATATATATATATATACCGATTATAGATATGGGTATACCTATTCGTCCCTATAAAATTGAAATTCAAATAACGACTGGTAACGAGTTAGCTTGCATGGCAGGCGGTTCCTAAAATTGGGCAAGCCTGGGAAATACCGCCTGCTGGGTTTGGCGGTGTAATCGAATTCCCCGTCCACCAATGGACGGGAATTGATGATTGGCGAGTCTGAGCCGCTGTCACTCAAAAGTGAACACACTTTAATATGTAAACATACGTTTAACACTCTAATGATGCATAGATTCGCTTTAATAGCTGTTGTAAAACTGAACGCTTCTCGAAATTCGAGACGCGAACTGATTGTCAAACGCGAGCAAGAGATAGCAGTTAAAGATTTACTCCTTGGAAAGAATTTTTTGGCCGTTCTATGGGAAAATCTTGATTTTTACATTGCTCCTGTTGGCGCGAGAAAATATAACGAGAATAGATACAGACGGCCGTATAGTCTTTGTTGCAACGGGTTTTATAACAGGGCTATTACGCCTAGGCCAATTAGCCGCTTCATTTTCTGAACTTTTTAAGGCTTTCGTTATCACACGGCTTCGTTAGGGAGACGAGACAGTTCATATTGACAACTAAGGTTTTTAATATACAACGGTCTATTTGTTCGAAAGTACACAGGCAACACGTTTATGTCTCGTTTGATTATGGCAATCAGTTCGTAATGTTTCTTTTGCTTGCCTTAAATAAATAATTTCTCCGAAGATATATAAGAATATAAGATATTTTTTCTAATGCCCCGTATTTTAGTTTCAAAACACACTTAACACACAAACGACAGTGGTCATTTACATTTTCCGCGTTTGCTTTTTTACCTCTTGTTGTTATTCAGAGGTCCTGATTGAAACTTTCAATGGCGTTAATTTCTTTCGACATATTTTTATACATTTGCAATTTTGCGACCAAACAATACTGCTATTTGCAAACTTCCATTAGGCGTGCAATTTTTTTCATGTTTGTTTACGTTTCAAACGTTCAGGTTTTTGACCGGAAAACGTTAACGTTTTGAGCAAGCCAATCAACGTTTGCCACGATCTTAGCAAAGTTTCATTAAACACACCGCCAAACGTTGATTTGCTTGCTCAAAACGGTAACGTTTTCCGGTCAAAAACCTGAACGTTTGAAACGTAAACAAACATGAAAAAAATCGCACGCCTATATAATGGAAGCTTGCAAATAGCAATAACATAGTTTGACAGTTTGATTGTTAATATATTTAGTGTTTGCTGATTGGCTAATTGAATCCGGACAAAAAAAGTGGGCGGTTATCAAATTAAACTGCCAGACCCAGCAGGCGGTATTTTAGATCGCCTGCCAAGCAGGCTAGGGACGAGTCTGCTTTTGTTCCTCACAACCGAACCCGTCGCAGCAACAATCCAAACCTCATACTCAAGACTCCCTGCTGCAATACATCCATGCACCTACCACGCATCATACTTCAATCGAATTGTGAAACTGTGGAACTGTGTTTGCAGTTCAGCTACACCAGATACTTTCTCTTGTTTAAGAGGCATTGCATGTCTGCAAGAACGGTCCAGCGACTTCTGACTCAATTTTCGATTGGCTTCATAATACATCTATAACTTCCCTGATGTATCCTGATTCTTGTTCAAATAGTCATTTATTGAAAATAGTCTTATTTTTTGTTTATCGTCAAATATATTAGACACGTTCAGGAATCCAAAATGGCTCTCATGATTAGGACGGATATTTGCAATTTTTCTAACTTTGCACCGAAGTCGTGCGAGGGTCTACAGAACATGAATCCGTGTTTTTATATTGAATAACGTATGTTCTTTTCACGAGAGTAATAATAAGCCAAAATCTATTTGGAACGGGCGATTTTAGAGGCAGTAACATTTGTCCCATTGGAGTCCGTCGTTCATGATCGAAAACCTAATGGATTCCGCAAGGCGTAGTAAAAAGTGGATTGCTGCTGAAATAAGGTGGCTCGATAGTCAAAATTTCTGGAAAAAAATTTTTTTTTGCAAATATAAAATTTTGCATGTGGGACCCTTGTACTTTTGCTTCAAAAACGTTTTATTTGGATACATTGCTTATTTTCTTCAAAATAAGCCATTTAGTATACTAGTTTGTCAATTTAGGATGTCGTTGCCATGGTAACCATATTTGTTTTTGCATGTTTTTGCGCTAAACAATGCTATATTTTTGCATCTGATGTCTCCTAAAAACGTTAGCAAGCCCCCTTAAATGGAAGAGTGGATAAAGGCCTGTTAACTAGTTTAAAACAGCTGAAGGAGCGGTTACAAAAAATAATAGTATAACTTTGTTTTTTACAATTCGCATGTGAGTCAAGAAAGTATTATATAAAACGATCTCATTTGGTTGAATAATGTCGTCTGAGAAGAAATTTAGAAGTATAAGAAGGAAGAAAAAGAAATCTACTGGAAATGTTCATACATAGTGGCTCAACAAGTTACGGTTACATTGGCTGATCGACAGAAGTTACCGAGATGTCAAGACTCAAGCGAGAGTTTTGTTGAGCCAAAGATACACATGCCTACTTCTGTGAGAAATCTTGATTTAGAAAATTCTAGCGAGGATGAAAGTGAATCATTAGAAGGTAACAAAGGTTTCCCTTTTATTGATGTCGAAATTCTAACACAAATAATGGAGACTTTTTGGTGTCCTGATTGTCGCTGTGGGCCTGTGACCATGTGATCATGAAGGACAATTTGGAATCCAAAAAATATTTGCTTCGCAGTTGATTCTTGAATGTTCAGCTCAGAATTGTAATTACTCAAGGAGCTTTTATACATCAGGAACTGTTCATAATGGTAAAGCTTTTGAGGTAAATCGCAGAGCTGTGTTGGGTGGAAGAAACATTGGTATCGGTCACAGAGGACCCTCAAAATCCACTGGCACCATGAACATGCCACCACCATGAATGAGAATGCATACCGAGATCATGTTGTTGCCATCCTTCCTGAAGTAGTTTGTAAAGCATGAATAATGCAAGTCAAGAAACCAAACAATTTTATGGAGTGGAAGAGGACATGGGAACTATATAATATTGGTATTTCAGCTGACGGGACATGGCGACGAAGCCTCCATGGTGGTACGTATAACCAAAACGAAGCATACAATGCACCCATTCCAGTCTTCCTACTGTTGAATTGGCTACCTATCTTGCAGTTGGTCACTTCAATGATGGATCCAGAACAATTTTATCTGTTTTGGAAAATCTTAGTGTTGACCCTGGAATCTATTCTACCAAAGCATGTAAGAAGATTGATATTGTCCGGATTTGGCGCTCGGGCTAAAAGAGCTCTGATGCATCTAAAAAGCGCCGCAGAAAAATTAGACAGTAGAAAAAGGGGCATAATGAAACCCAGGAAGCAAAAGAGGAACCCCAGTATGAGGCTGGTGCTTTCTAATTGGGAACATGAACTTTGGTTCAAGTTTAACATATAAATCAAACTTCAGAGTGATTTTTCTCATTTTTGAGAATTTGAATGTTCCGAGAGCCAATAATTGCAATATCTTGAGAAGTATTTTACATATAAGCCTGAAATTTTCACTGTGAATTCATACAAGTATTAGCTGTGCAATGACCTATTATTTTCCTGTTTGACTACCCCAAACAATATTTAGAGCCTTTGGACAACATGTTGTTGGAGAATTTTTCTTACCAATTTTGAGAAAGGCCAAAATATATGAAAGCATTAGAATATCTGGAAAATAATAGGTCATTGCACAGCTTTTGTATTACACATATCACTTAGAAAATTTCAGACCCCTAGCACTTTTCGTTTAGGAGAAATCACTGTTGGCGTGACCAACAGTTTGACGACTTTAAAAATGGGTTGGGTGGGGAAAAGGGTGTGGCTCCTTAGGAACTGTAGATATGGACAAAAAGTGTTTTGTAAGTTGAAGCTATTAGACCATTGTATCTATTAATTCAAATTAAATTATCAGAAAAGCACCTGCACTATGATAAATAGTGCTCTCAAAATAGCCCTATTTTGACTATCGAGCCACCTTATTAAATCCTATTAAAATATGTAGATGAATAACTAGGTTATTCATATCAAATGAGAAAAGTTTTGGTCAAACTCATTTCCCGCGACAAAGGAAGGAGTCTTTATGAGGCAAAACCGCCCCCTATGCATGGGCGGGCTAACATTTATAAGATGGTGTCC